AGAGATGGAAGGGACCTTTAAAGTCGGTTAGTACAACCCCTTCATTTTACAGGTATGAAGAAGGTCCAGAGATATGAAGTAACTTATGCTAACACACTTGTAACATTGGGGTTGCTCCCCTTGAATACTCACTGTAGTCTCAAGGATTTCTGTGTCTTCATTCACTCAAAACTATAACTTATCAGTCCTTCCCGATGTTTACTGTTTCCCTCATCAGTCAGGACACAACTAGTTTGAAGCAAAGGTGTTTAATGAAATAGTAATAAAAGAAATTATAATATTCTTCTTATCGATATATTCTTCATATCAATCACCCTTTCCTACAAATGCACACACCAGTGGAGAGAATGGCCATCTAAAGGGATAATACATGAACACACACATTGGAGATACTTGAGATACTTCACATACCTCAGATGGCACAGAACCAGAGATGCCCCCACTATTCATTCTGGATTTTCTCTCTATTGGACATGACATCTCTACTGGATTCCTTTGCTGAACTGGTCTGCTGAATCTGTCAGCTGTCCTATTTATCCTTACTAGTATTGTGGTTATTGCTAGGAAAATAGTCTCAGTTGAGCAATCCTCCATTTGCCTTATTGCATCTCTCTTGGATGCATTGTTTTGCTGGTTGTTGTTGACTGCTGGACATCACAATCAGAGGCTTTATTCCCTACTACTATCTTCTGGACTATTTTCATTAGGGCTGCTTTTGGTCCATCTTAGTTCCAATCTCAAATGACTTAAAAGCTAGAACCTCTACCAAAGAAAGGCGGACTGACAGCTCTTTAATTGCAGGCTAATATTAAGTCTTTTCTTAAACGCCTGTGTTTGCACAAAGATCAAAGCTGGCTAATAGTCTTAATTATCCAAAGTCTTGTCTGGTTTAGCAACAATCTGCCAAGTCGTTGCATTTATAAAGGTGCCAGTCACTGTGCTAAGCATGAAAATAAATTCGAATCAGACTAAACAGTAAGCTAATTAATATAGGTCAGTCTGAAGAACTAGTGCTTTTTCTCCCCTCCCCTTCCTGTTATTGCCTGTCCTTTATTGTATCAAACAGTAAGGGCTGGACAAGGTATGTTTTCATCAGAGGGTGAGAGTGACCAATTGGGTCACTACTGCAGGGAGATGTGGAGTGGCCATTATAGTAGGGCTTCATCTTCACCTTGGCCAGTTTCACTCTTCTGAGTGCCATTTTGTTTTCTCTTCAATTGCCTTTCTTGATCTCTTACACTGGGTTTGGCTATGAAGGCATCAGATATGTATGTCTCAGGACACTGTAGGGGAAAAAAGCCCTGAGAGGCTTTTGTCCTTGATTCATTTGTCCACATTACTCTCACTCCTTTTACTGTCTACCTGTGTTGGGTAAGGCTACCTATATCAGGGAGGATGAGCACCTCCGGTGTGAGGGCTTGCTGAACCCTTTCCCAGGCTGCTCATCCATCTTTGGTGTTCACTTGCCACCCAACTCTCACCTGTGATTCCAAGAAGCTGTGACATGGACAGTGGCCACACCTTGATAACACCATCTCGGCAGACTGGCTAAACCAAGTTGAGGACGATCGGTAGGTCTAAGACTAATGTCTGGTGAGTCATGCGGAGCCTTCTCCCGGTGGAACAGGTGGACAAAAGCAATTTGTTCCAACGGCCATGAAGGTGGTTGAAGCAGGTGCTATGGAGTACTTAGAGCACAGTGAGATATTGAAGATACCACTGGATCCTGGACCATTGCCAGTCATCCTGACTTTTGTCTTGCCGCTAGACCTACATGACTCTGCAAGAGAGAGTGAGACTCATGACTTTGTGCAACTCTGCCTCACTTAAATCCAATTTATGCGTGAGTCAAAACATCATCCTGTGATGTCATCGGTACTCCTTGAAAATGAAGGATGAACAATATTTTCTCTGGGCACTATTTTAGTTAATTTTACTCAGTGCTGTTTTTCTGGAATTCTTCCCCCCCCCCCGCCCCGACTTTCTTATTCCTCAGGCTCCATGCTCTTCCAACAACTGTCCTTTTTCTTTCTTTTTTGAGCCTTGGACATTGGCTTCAACAGACCCTGGTAGTGAGGTTCTCCCTGGCAAACTGTGTAGATAATTTCAAGAGTTGAGTACTTAAAATTGCAGTAGCCACATTGCTGCCCATGACTGGGTGAATTCAGGCTGCGTCAGCAAGGGGGAGCTCTATGAAGCTTTCCTATTCTATCATATTGATATTCTATTCTATCATGTTGATAATGACCTTTTCCCTCAGAGCTCACATTGTACTTTGTTGTTGGAAGCAATGGAAGTGTAAACAGAAACAACAGATTAGTGATTGTTTTCAGTTACTTTTTTACATGAGAAAAAAAACTGTGCTGGGTTCTTTGAACTTTTTTCTTTTCTTGTCATTGTTGTATTGTTCCATTTTGGGCTATTTTAGTAGTTTGGTATGGTAGTGGGAGAGCTGTGCCCTAGGTTTCTTCTCACTCTCCCATCTTCCTAGGATTCCAGACTAGTTGTCCCACTCCTCAAAGGCAAGCTCAATGGGGCCTCTTCCTAGAGTTCCTTGACCTCCTAAGAATACAAGGCAGGATGTGTGTGTGCCAGTCACAAATGGCTTGGTAAAATAAGAGATACAAATTTACTCAATAGGCCATTTAGGGAGATGGACCTCAAGCTACTTAATAAAATGCTGAATATTGAGAATTCCCCAGTATACACGGTCCTTTCTGTCCCATTGCTACAGCTATGAAATTGTGCTAAGTTCCTATTCTTCAATAACCTTGTTCACATGGACTCTGGTTGGCAGCCAGTATTAGATCTTCAGTATCAGAGGAATCTTTGACTCTGATTCAATTAGCCTCTGGTTGACTGCCTGCAGCAGGGTTGGCAGCCAAGAACACCTCTTGCATGGTTATTTTCCTTTTGCTAAGTGTCCACACTTTTGTGAGATCATCGTAACATACATTCAAAGCTGAAAGGGACCTAGCAGCCATTTAGTCCAACTCCTTTATTTCACAGACAAGGAAACTGAGGCTCCAAAGGGTGAAATTCATTGTTTAGATAAGTTACAGACGAATATTTGTACCTGTCTTCTGACTCTAACCCCAGCACCCTTCCTGTTGTCTCTCCATGTTGAACCTGCCCAGTTCTGAAGACTGTGATTTCAAAGTGAGTGTGGTACATTGTGAGCTGCTTGAGTGTAGGAACTGTCTTTTGCCTTTCTTTGTATCTCCAGTGCTTAGCACAGTGCCTGGCACATAGCAGACACTTAATAAATGTTTATTGATTGAGTAGACTTGAATTTATTTACTTATTCTTGAGTCTACATCCTGGAACTGTTTCTTCAGGGTTATAGCCTCTTACTTTCTCCTCCCTGCATATACCACACTATGCCATTTTGGGGTCATATCCCCAAACCCTAGATCTGCTCCATTTTCTACATGGGACAGTTTGCCCCTCCTTAGGCAATATGGTAGCTACCTGTTCCTGGGGACTCACTATATTAATGCTGAACTTAGTATACACACCTGATCAACTTAGTCCACTACTAGTTAGTAGTGATTCTCTGTCCTCTGCCTCCCAGTAGCTGGGATTCCAATGTGTACCACCATGCCCAGTAGTATTGATTTAATCTTTAAATTTTCTTTTATGATAAGAAGCAGCTTGTTTTCTTTTTTCCTCTCCAGACTTGTGATGTTGGTAAGTGTAGGGACCTTAAGTATCTTGCCCAGGGTCACAAGGCCAGAATGTTTCAGAAGCACATTTTCCAAGATCCAAGGTGGGTTTCCACTATACCATACTGTCTCTCAAAATAACCTAGGACTAGATCTGTTATTTTGTTGTTAATTTCATTGATAAATGGAACTCCCTGATGAGGAGCCATCCTTTCTACCAATGCAAATCTCTACCTTACAATTTATGGTCTTGGGGAATGGCTGAGGTGCCTAAAAGTTTATTGACTTTCTTGTCCTTGGTCACATAGGCAGTCTGAGGACACTAGCAACACCTCAAACAGTGAGAGGGGAGTTAACTGTAAGAATGAATTTGTCATTGAGGGTTAGAAAAGATAACTGAAGAACTTGTAGGCTCATTCTTTTATTAACTAGGAAAAAAATCCTCTGCCTGGCAGAGTTTGAGAATTGGTGCTATCAGAAGGCAGATAGAAACTCAGGAGAGGCAGAATGCTGGAATGCATAGAGGGCTGGATTTAGTGTCATGAAGACCTGATGGCACTTAGCATTTTTGTAACTTAAGCAAATCATTCAACCACTGGCAATAAGACTTCTAACATCCCCAAGGTTAGCATGAGGCTGCAAGATTTAAACTTACATGTATTCAAATATTATACAACATCATCTAAGTTATTGCTAAATGGGTCATATAAAAGCAGCGTTCTTCAGAAACTCCTTTGCAAAACTCCATATATTCCACATGCTTGAAAAGATTTTAAGGATTTCTGTCTCTTCTTGAAAGTTTTCTGGAAGAAAAAATTTGGTTAGGTAGAATAAATGGCATTCTTTCTGAAATTTGCATTTCCTTTCTTTTCTTGTCCCATTAATACTGCATCAAAATGTCAGGATCTGATTGCAGTATATGCTGAACATGACCATTAATAGGATTTATATTTAATAACTGGCAAAGCAATCAGTTTTTCATCAAGAAACAACCCTATATACCATTTGCACTTTTCCCCACATGTCCAAATGTCCACAGCTTCACCTCTTCAGCATGCCAAAATGTTGCAGAAAAGGATGTCTTCTTGACTGAGAAAGAATACATATACACAACTGGTTTGAAGCCCCAACAGAAGAAGCCCAGTTCAAAATTATGAATAATTTCAACCAAAGCTTTGGGGAACTGAAGAGAAAGTTTTGTTTTGACCTTAGACATCTCCATGCTTTAACTTGTCTTGGAAGGTATTTCTATACTAAAGGGCCTAGTATCCTAAGCTCATGGGAAGAATGGCCCCACAAAGAAGTCATGGAATCAAATGATGACAATCCACTTGATTTAATATTTGCAAGAAGAGTTTATTAATATGTGATGCCTACAAAAAGCATTGGAGGCATGATAACAAATATAATTAAGTGCTCTGTTGATCAAATTATTTATTAATAAAGTGTTCCATTAATAATAGTGAGGTTTATTAGTGGTAATTGTCAATAAAAAACCAAAAAATCAATTAAGCACTTACTGGGTACCAGCAGACACTGTGATAAGTGCTAGGAATACAGACACAAATAGAAAGAAAAATTGTCTCTGCCTTCAAAGAGCTTACATTCTAATAGAGGAAGGCGAAACATAAAGAGAAGGTTAAAAGGAAGAGATACAAAGGTACCCAAGGGGGCTGTAAAAGAAAGTCTAGAATGCAGCCTGGAGAGGAATGAGACATGGCTGGCCTGGGCACCTTCCTTAAATGGAGGTTCTGGTAGGAGCCATCCAATGAGAGGAAGAGGCTATAGGGACGGACAGCACTTCCAATGTGGGAATTCCAGAATTGGAGCATGGCTTCAAGATGAAGAGCTGGGCATGATAGAAGTCTAGAGTGCATAGGATAGTAGATTTAGAGCTGTAAGGGACTTGAGAGAGAATTCAATCTGGCCCCTCCTTATATATTTGAGGAAGCAGAGTCCCATGAAGATTAATGGTGGCTTGCCCCAGGTAAGACATAGCAGAACGGGCTTTTGAGCCCAGTCCCCCAATCCCCAATTCAATCCTCTTTTGATTATACTATTCCTATTTATGTCTGCTGCTAAATGACCTATAAAAAAAAGCAGGTTTTCCTGTGACCACAACTGAAAGAATGTGATGATTTGTTAAAATTTAAGGATTGGGTGAAAAGATGGCATGGGTACTTCCAATCGATCTCTGTCCATGCGTATAATCTCTGCTCAAACACTTCCCTTCAGCATTTTGGGGGCTTTGCCAAGAACTTGAGTCTGAGTTCAGAGCAGAGAGGAATTTACCAGATGGACACCAGATGGGGAGGCTGTCAAGGATGTGACTCAAGAGAAATGGTTTTAAATAATCTGCTGCTGTTTTAATTATCTTACAGCTTAGAATCAAGGGATATGCGTGATCTATGACTTTACCCCATAACTACCACATGCTCATGGCTGGCAATGATATTTATTATGCTGTATGCTAAAAAAAAAAAAAGAATGACATTTAAACTTTTGTCACCCACTGTGGGAAGGATGGGATGGTAAAATATTTTAATGCTGTAATTAGTTTTTAATATATTATCCATAAAGCTGCTTTCTAATAATAACTCACTAATTTTCCACATCATCCTTTACTTATCTCTATTATGATAAAGTTGAGCATATAGCCAGGGAGTTTTCAAGCATTTTTTTCCATATATGTATGTATGTATATATATATATATATATATGTATGCATATATATGCGCATATATATATATATATATATCTCCATATTTATTTGTCTTCAATTCAATTAGACAACAAACATTTATTACACTACAAGCTCTTTGAGAACAAGGACTGACTTTTTCCTTTCTTTATTTCTCCAGTCCTTAGAAAATTGGCTGGCACATAGTACGTTTTTAATAAATTCTTGTTGACTTGATTTGACTTGATATTAGGCAATTGGGTGACAAAGATAAAAAACCCAAACAGTACTACCCTCAAGGAACTTGTACTTTTCCTACTAAAATCCAGGAAACCCTCTCCCTCAACTTTCATAGCTAGGACCCCATACCTAATACATAGTGAAAAAAAAGGCCAACACAATAGCAGTAAGGCCCAGGACTTTCCACAAAGAAGCAATAGAAGCCATGGACGAATCCTTCACAACTCGAGTCTTCAAAGGCTTTAGAAGCCTTTGTTCCTGGGTGAAGATGGCATTTCTGGCTTCCTTCCACTTCCCAGGGCCATCAAGGCGATACTGATATGGATTGCAGGGCCCAAAGTAAATCTTCAGGGCCAGTTTAGGGTCTTTTATAAAGAGTGAGAGAATGTCAGGTTTGGCTCCTATCTCTGTGGCAAGTTCATCCAAGTAGTCAATGTAATTGGTTTGCAAAGTCTGGCTCAGGCTCTTTCCAAACCTAAATGCAGGATAAACAAAAACAAAGCATCATAGGTTATATTCAGAAGTATCTACAAAGATTTTACTCTTTCTCTCTTACTAATTTCTTTTTTTTTCCATAGCCAGTGGAAAGTGTGAGGCTATTACATAATTACATCACATAATTGATAACCTTTCATTGATGTCTCTAAGGAATAGCAACTACTTCTATGAAATAAGTAATTTGGTAGCCATGAACTCAATTCAGTTCAGTTAAATTCAATTAAAATCAATTAACAAGCATTTATTAGGCACTCACTATGTGCCTAGTAACAACATTAAGAACTTACTAAATGCAAAGTTCTATGCTAGGCACTTGGAAATACAAGAACAACAACAACAACAAAAAAAACCCAACAAAAAACCATTGCTTTCCCCTAAAGACTTGACCACGACTTCCATCTTGTAGGATTATTTACTGGGTGTAGAATTATTAGTCATCCATATCATTCTCATTCACCATAGTCATTACCCTTAAAGTCTTCCTTCTACTGCTCCCTTCATAGTGTGACTATTCAGTTTCTTTTCTTGGTTTCAGACAAAGTGGTGAGTGAGTTTCACTGTATATGAAATGTGATGTGGACAATTGGCATCTAAACATTCTTTTGTCCAGCCTATCATAAGGTCAGGTTCTGTTTACTTAGCTCCCTCAACTTTCTAAATCTCTTTACAGGGACACAAGTATTTCCAAAGCATTACATCCCAAAGCATCCAGTAGAATGTAAGCTCCTTGAGGAAATGATTTCTCTCTTTGTCTTCCCAGTGTGTAGCACATTTTCTAGCACCGTAATGTGCTCAATATGTACCCATTGATTGCATTGTATTATATTGTATCGTATTGCATTACTTTGTATTGTATTACATCGTATCGTTTCGTACTGTACCGTATCGTATCGTACCGTATCGTATCGCATCGTATCGTATCGTATCGTATCGTATCGTATCGTATCGTATCGTATCGTATCGTATCGTATCGTATTGTATTCTAGAGCAGGGATAATTAGTGGAACCCCTGTTTGACTTGCTAAATTTGCTGGCCACATAAGATTATGGGATATAGACCTATGTTAAATTGCAAATCCTCAAACGTGGAACAGGCTGCATCTGGCTGAAGGACATGTCCTCTGTGGGAAGCTCTTTTCACTGGTTCCTAGTTACTAGAACTGTCTCTTCATGGTAGGAGGGTGGAAAAGAAAGATCTGCCTCCATCTTTCCAATTTGGATGAAGTCACCAGAGAAAACTCAGTAAGTCCTCAATAGTTCAGAACTTCAGAAAGATGTAGCCATTTTGTTTTTCTATATCAAGAGGAGGTATGGCTGATCCTAATTAAGCTGATCATTAGGAGTACCCTGTGTCCCATCAGCTGTCTTCAAATAATGGCCTAAAACCTATAATCTCCTCAGTTTGGTTGGGGAAATTCTTTCTGAGACAATTATAATGGCTGACACCATATATTCTTTGATCAGGGACTCCCATGGTCCACCCTTTTCACTTGTATCATATGCAAATTTCAAGGACAATCATCTTTCAACAGAGTGTCAAGGCCAATAAAGCATTTTCTGCAGGCAGCCAAAGGCTGCCAAAGGCAAAGATGGTCATGCAACTTGAAAGTTTAATCCAAAAGCCTGAAATATCTGACCCCAGATCTCCCCTCTCAATTCCTCATGACACTCAAAAGTATATTTCCTGAAACTTTTACTTTCGCTTCACCTCCCTCCACTCCCCAAAGCTCTAGGAGACTTTCCCCAATTCAAGGTTCAAACAGCAGAGGTAAGGGAATTGAAAGAAAGCTTTCAATCTTAACAGGAGTTAACATCCCTAAGTCAAATAGACCTTAGTTGAATGGTCACGTGCTATTTCTTACAGTTCAATTCTTTTTTCATTCCTCGTCTCAATGCTTGCTTTCATAGTGCTCTCTGAGGGTAGTGTACACAGCCCTAGAACAGAAAAGGTAGATTTGTGGTGATTTGGTCCCATAAAGATACTTACTGTGCAGGTCAGTCATACTTAGTCTTTTTGTAGTCAAAAGTCAGGAATGTAGATTTATAGTGACAGAGGCCCACAATGTATCTGCCAAATTTCTCTCATCTACAGAGCTCCAAGAATTTATGCATCAGCAGTGACACTTCAGGATGTCTGAAAGCCAAATTAAACTGGGCCAGTAGTCAGGAATGTTTGATGACAAAAGCTTTTAACTCTACAGAAACAATATTCAACCCATGATATAATTAAGAGGCAGCTGGGTGGTACAATGGATAGCATTCTGGGCCTGAATCAGAAGACTCATCTTTTTGAGTTCTAATCTGACCTTGGACACTTCCTAGTTGTGTGACTCTGGATAAGTAACTTAACCCTGTTTGCCTCAGTTTTCTCAACTGTAAAATGAGCTGGAGAAGGAAATGGCAAACTACTCCAGTATCTTTGCCAAGAAAACCCCAAATGGGGTCATGAAGAATTGGACGTAACTGAAAACAACTGAACAAAAAAAATAGCTAATGAAAATAACAGATCCCCTTATGGGGCTTTCGTAGGTAGTTGGGTGAGGTTGTGGTAGGGAATGCCTCCTGAGGAATGAAATGAGTTCTATGGCTATTCTCTGGGTGGCCATTGAACCTTTCTATAATAGTGGCTGGGCTCCAAATGGATGACTATCTCAAAAAGCAAGAAATCAAGAACGGGCCATACTCTTGTCTCTTGATTCTAAGATAATCCAAAGAATTTGCAGAAACTCAAGTGATTTTTCTTGCAAACTGGAATCCTAGCCTTTCATAGCAGGTCTGAATGGATTCTATGCTACTTTTGATGATTTCCCCTTTTGAGAGGAATTATGAGAACTGAGTGACAGAGTAATTGAGTGGTTGTAGGACTGACCTCTAAGCCTCCATCGCACACACACACACACACACACACACACACACACACACACACAGAGACACACACACACAGAGACACACCCCCCCACTCCTTTGTGACCACACTCAAATCCCTCAATTTCTCAGTGCCCCAGGCCTCTCTCTAAGACCAGAGGTGTCAAACTTGAGGCTAGAATCAATAAAAATACAATACAACACTAAGTCAATATGCAGCCCACAGGTATCATTTCTATTTGGGTTTGATATCCAACTGAGCTAAGGCTCAGGTACAAAGAAAGTGCCGACTTTTAGGCATTCCCTACATTAATGATATCACAGCTTCAGTCCTTATCTCTAATAGCAATGGACATTTCTAGAGTGTTGTAAAGTTTTAAAGTACTTTACAAAAATTATCTCATTTGAATTTTGTAACAACCATGGGGCAAGTGTGAGAGTTATTAATATCCTCATCTTACAGATAAAGAAATTGAAGCCCAGATTCAAGTTCAAACAGCTAGTAAGTGTCATCAATGGGATATGACCCCCAATTTTCCTTATTCCTAGTCCAATACTTTGTCCTCTATGAACTACTGTCTCCCTCACAATTGCAGCTATTGCATCTCTGTAAGTGATGAGTGCAGACACAGCAATAATACCCAACATGATACTCCTTCTTGTGGGTTGTTCTAGTAGACAGAAATAACATCTTTATGGTACTCAACTATTAAGCAAAACATGCCAGGATTTTAATTCCTGGCCATACATGTACACTCATTCACCTTTGAAAATTCTTGTCACCCAGCGAGCTTGGAGTTCAGAGGTTGGGAAGATGGATCCCAGAGGCTGGATAAGGCCAATGAATGCCAGAGTTGATTTCTCCAGGTCAGGAGGGAAAATGTACTTGTACAATCTCACCCGGTTGTGCTCCACTTTGACAATGGACTCATCAAGAAAGGGAAAAGAAATCTGATATCCTGTGGCAAAAACAATCACGTCAATGTCCTCTATACTTCCATCCTCAAAGATGGCAGAGGTTTCCGTGAGCTCCTTTACAGTGGTTTTTACTGTGATGGCCCCATAGAGGATCCGACTGGGGAGATCATCGTTAAACACCGGCTCTTTCATCAGGTACCTAAAACACACAGAACAAAACACTACAAAACATTTCTGCTGAAATGGGTCCAAGCTCGTTCTATCTTATGTGCGAGTGGTCCTATAAAAAGCTTTCTCAACAATCCCTGATATCCTTTGTAATTTGCTGAGTTTCTCCTAGCCCTTATAATCTAGTTCTAGTTGTAGCCCTGTGTCATAGCTTCTGCTCTGTTAAAAGGGGGTGATAAAGAGGATAAGTCATGAGGGTGATATATATCAGGACAAATATATCACCTGAAAGTGTACCTTCTTGATCATCTACTTTGGGAGTAATTAGACTACTCATCTGCTATTCTTCCTTCTGCTGCCTTCTTCTTCATTATTTTGCTGCTTTGTAAAAACCTCATCTGAGAGTGAGTAGGAAACAGAAATCATGAAAAAAAGATGTATATCTGTTAATTTTGAAATTTGTGAGGTATTTAGGTAAATGATCTATGTAGAATGGAGAATGAAAATAAATGAAGATAAAATAAAGTTTTCCGATTGTGAATTCCAAATCCTGTCCCTGTGCCTCACATAACCTGAGGACTTGTGGCTTTTGTTTCTATAATTGCTTTTATGGTGGAACTTCTGGGACTTATTTCAGTTTCTTATGCCAGTAGCCAAATTTGTGGGCTCGTGGATACATTTGACTAGAATAGACTGGTCAAACATCTCCAAGCTTTGACATCCAGTGAAAGATTTCCAAATTGTAAAAAAGAGATAGACTTTTGGGGAATCGTTGCTTTTTGGTCTAAAAGGACTCTCAATGATCGTCTCAGTCTACCCTCTCATTTTATAGATGGGGAAACTGAGGCCTAGAGAATTGAAATGACTTGGCCAAGATTACAAAGCTAATTAATGGAAGAGCTAGCACCAGAGCCCATGTCTACTTGACTCCTACTTCAATGTTCTTTCTATTTCTCATTTCCACACTGACTGTAGTGATTATTTGTATTTTACGAGAGTGATGCTTTAAAGAAAGTTGAAAGTGTAGAGAAAATCTCAGAACTGCTTTTCTCCTAAGCCATCTGTGGGGAAAGTCTTTGTGTGAACAGGGCAATGGTTGATGTTATTAATAATAATATTATTATTTATTCTATTGTTAATTATTAATAATGTTATTAGTAGTAGGCAACATTTATGTAGTACTTGCTATGTAGAAAAATCTCAGAAGCAATTTTTTCCTAAGCCATCCACGGGGAAAGCTCTTATGTGAACATGATCACAATGGCTGAGGTTATTACTATTAATAATATCATAATAATTAATTCTTATAATTATATTCATCATTATTAATAGAATAATTATATCATTAATCATTATTAATAGCTAACACTTATATTGCACATACTATGTGACTAGCACTGTGCTAAGCATTTTACAATTATTTTCTCATTTGATCCTTACAACAACCCTGCAAGGTAGGTGCTATCATTATCCCTACTTTACAAATGAGGAAACTGAGGCAAAGGGAGGTTAAGTAACTTGCCCAGGGTCACACAGATAGAAGTGTTTGAGACCCAATTTTAAATCAGGCCTTCCTTACTGCAGGCCTAGCGCTCCATCCACTGTGCCACCTAGCTACCCAATATTATTATTAGTAGTAGTAGTAGTATAAGTCAAAATGAAGTCTTTGATGAATCAACCTCAACTACATTCCCAATAGGCTAAGAATCATCAACTGCTGGAGACCTCAGAAGTTTTCCATTCCAATCTTTTACCTAACCCTACGAGAACCTCTTCTGTAAGAGAACCCCAGCAGCGGGGTTCATTGCCTTTGTTTGAACCCTTAAGGAAAGAGCGCTCACTGGCTCATTACCATTTCATTATTGAACATTCTGATTTTAGGTGAAGTTCACTGCCCTATTGATAGTTCCTGGGATCTGCAAGGAACAGAAGCGTCTAGAGGCCATCATGCTGGAAGATGATTATAGCAAGAAAGTTTCATTTTGGGGCTCTCTATCCTACAGATACTAGTGCCTTTACCTGTCAGGGAACTTAGAAAAGCAAAATCACTTTACTTGTTTTCAGGTACCAGGCCATAGTTTTCATGGTCAAACCACCGATTCATCTGTGTCTCCATCATCCATTTCACAGTCTTTGGTGGGAGGGTATTTCTGATCATGGTGCTGAATCTGGTGTGGAACACCATGTCCCAGGGATAGCCATGGTCAGAAATGCGGCTCATGACCCAGGAGCCGTGCCTCGTGCTCATAAATACCTGAAAAGCAATACCAAGTAGGGCTGAACATAGGCCAGTTTGGTCTGTACCACTCAAGTGACAAATCCCAAATTAGGTTTGTCTACAGATTTTCACTGAGACAAATGAAGTTATCTAAAACATCACACCTGATTAGCCTTCTTACACAGCTCAGCTGCAATATCTGAAGCTGAATTTCCAGACCCAATCACCAGAATTCTCTTTCCCTCAAATCCTTCTGGATTCTTGTATTGGCGGCTGTGGAAATACTGGCCTTTAAACCTCTCAATACCTGTAAGGGAAGGAAGAGAAAGGATATGAATTTCTTGGTAGGGCAATTATGTCAATGTGATGCCATCAGCTTCTTGCAAAATAATTTCCATTTCTGTCTTTGCCTTCTAGGTTCAATTACCATTCTCCTCTGCTTTCTGTTCTTTGAGTTAAACCTTCAGTAATGCCAACTGGCAAATGCAAAGAATAAATTAACCCCCAAACCAATATTTGGGTACTGGAGGTATTTGCCTTTTTAAATCACAGGACTTTTAACATCTGGCCTGAGAAGCAAAGAGTCAGAACTTAAGGACTGACGCTTACATTTTTACTAGGAATAAACAAATGTTCTTAATCAGTCAGAATCAAAATCAGACCCTTGCTCTGAACATTAAACTCAGCCTGTTCTCAATTGGCCTGCTACTTAAGCTTATCCCTTAAAAATTTCAGAGATCTTTCTAAAACATGATCCCATTTAATATAATGTTCATACAAAATTGGGAATTGAGCAGATGCTATTGTTATTCTCATTTTGGGTGATGGAAAAAAGTCAGGAACAGAGAGGTCACATGATTAGCTCAAGATCATGCAGAAAATTGGTGACAAAGTGGTGAGGTTGGGTGAGCTCCTTGAGGGCAAGGACCTTGTGTTGTTTTGACTTTATATGTCCAGGATTGTAGTGTAGTGGATAGAGAGCTGGCCTCAGGAAAGTCAGGACCCTGGGTTCAAGTTCTATTTCTAACACCTTCTGGGTATATGACACTAATAAAATCATTTGTTGTTCATTTTTTTTTTCAGTTGTGTCTAACTCTTTGTGACCCCATTTGAGATTTTTTTTTTGGCAAAGATACTGGAGTGGTTTGCCATTTCCTTCTGCACTCATTTTACAGATGAGGAAACTGAGGCAAACAGTGTTAAGTGACTTGTCCAGGGTCATACAGCTAGGAAGTGTCTGAGGCTGTTTTTGAATTCAGGAAGATGAGTCTTCCTGGTTCCAAACCTAATGCTCTTTGTACTATGGTGCCATGGCTGCCTAATAAAATCATAGGTCTGGGTAAAACTTTAAAAAACCACCAGTATTAGAAACTATACAATGTCTTACACAAAGGATCATAAATTTAGAGAAGGAAGGGATCTTACAGGTAATCTAGCCATACCTTTCTGGTTTTACAGGTGAGAAGACTGAGAGCCAGGGAGGTGGAGTGATTCACCATTCTATGTAGCAAGCAGTAGAATGAGGATTTGGATCTAAGCATTCTGAAACCAAATCTAGTGTTCCATTGCCCCATGAAAATATGAGGTGGGTGCTTGCTAAATACTTATCAAATTGAATTAAAGATGCTATCCATCAGTGTAGTTGGTTAGTAGTTTTCAGTTGGGTCGACTTTTCGTGAGCCCCTTTGGAGTTTTCTTAGCAAAGATACTGGAGTGGTCTGCCCTTTTCTTCTCCAGCTCATTTTATAGGTGAGGAAACTGAGGCAAACAGGCTGAAGTGACTTGCCCAGGGTCACACAGCTGGTAAATGTCTGAGGCCAGATTTGAACTCAGGAAGAAGAATCTTCCTGACTCCAGGCCTGTCACTATATCTATCTACTGCGTCACCTAATTGCTCCTATGCGTCAGAGTAGAATCCTATAAAATACAGATTTCTTTGTTTGCTGGTTACCCACTGTTTCTCTGAAGAGAGTAGAAGTAAGCTCCTTGAGGGCAGGCTTTTCATCAGTTATGTCTTTATAATTCTCTGTACCTTGCACTTAATAGATTATTAATATTTTAAATGGTTTTTGAACATGAAGAACTGAGTAAGACCACTTTAGAAGACATGTAGTCATTTCCTTGGTGGCCCACAGGAATCCTAGGATCTGTTAGAAGGAAATGGTGGGAAGTAGTGATAGCCAGCTGCCAGTACCAACTATTTTCCCTCTCTTTGACATTACATAATGTCACCATCAGTCCCTATTGCTGCCCCCTTCAGGAGTCTCTTTTAGAAATCTGACCTCTTTCCAGCCTCAGTGAATATATTCTCATGGGCAGAGGTTGCCCCTCCTCCTTTACCTTTTCTAAAGAACCCATTAAATTATCAAGTATTCATGCATCTTTTCGGGGAGAAGGAGAAAGGCTCAGGAAGACACATGGTTCAAAAGATAACCGCATCCCAAAATGGACATAGAAAAGGGATCTTAGAGCCCCCAGGGGTGATTTTTGGGCCCTGGATAGGGCTTGCTGGAGAAATGTCTTACCATTTGATGACTCAGTGAAATCTGATGACCCGGATATTTTAGCTGAATTGCATAAAGAGCTCATAGTGGTAAATCATTGAGTGGAAATCATTGAATCATGCATAAAATCAAACAGCCTGCAGGAATTTCAGCTGGTTGGAAAAATCAAATCCTTCTTTGTGTTTTCCCACTTGAACAAAAAGGGAATTGGAATTTTCTTGTGCTTTCCTCTGCTTATCCCTAACTCCAACATGATTCCTGTAATGGCTAAGGTCCAAAAGCTGCTGGTCCATATCCATGTCAGAGTTTAAAAAAACAACAACAAATAGGCCCCAGGCAAATCTCTTTGTGTGATCAAATACTTTCTCCTAGTATTTTCAGGACTCAAGCAAGCAAATAGAAACAAAGCCAGAAAATGTTTTTATTGAAATTGAAATAGTTTTATATTATGTGTACGTATAATATATCATATAATTTATCATATTATTATATTATATATTATTTATATTATATTATGAAAATGTTTTATATTATCTACAGAATTCCAATGATGCAGTTGACAACCTATCTACAAAAGAAGAGGAATCCCATAAGTAATCTCGTACGGAGTGGTCTGAAGCATATAAAGACTAAGTGACTTGCTTAGGGTTCGACAGCTAACTTCACAGGTTTGATACTTCATGGGTAGGATTTGAACCAAGCCCTTCTTTACACACTAGACACCATCTGATGCTACCTCTCATAGCTTTAACATTGGATCTGAAACAGCAGTGAGGTCTACCTCTTGCCCCAAACACATACCAGTTGCACAGACATACTTGAAAAGAGTTTTCGGAAATCAAGGCTCACCTGGAAATGAGTCTAGCGGCATGTTGGAAACTACGTGATGACCCTGCAAACCATCACTGCATCAAAGGTAGCCAATTCCTCCTTCCCGTTTCTCTCAATAATAACATCCCATTTGCTGGTAGAAGAAAAGTCATGGTGTTTTTTAACATTGCTCACAGTAGTCTGAAATAAATAGAAAAAAGGGACTATTATTCACCAGTTCTCTAGGGTCAGCAAACTTAGGCCTGTGGGCTAAATCTGGACTGCAGCCTATTTTTGTATGGTCCACTGCCTATTTTTATATGACCCACTAGCTAAGAATGGTTTTTACATTGAAAAATAAAGTTTATTGAGAGCCAAGATGGTGGAGCACAGGGAGCAACCCAGGCAAACTCTCCCAACATTTCCTTCCATAATAACTGTTCACATCAAATTTTTGAACAGCAGAGCTAACAAAAGGTCAGAGCGAAGCACTTTTCCAGCCTAAGACAATGTAGGAGGTTGGCAACAGAGGTCTGTGACAGCAGGGCAGGATCTTGCTTGAGGTATGGCAGGAACACCAGTGGTAGGCCTTTCAGGTGGCTGAAAGAGTGGCAGAGGCAGCAGTAGTGGTAGCAGCAGCTTTGGAACTCTCAGCCCAGAGAAAGTAAGGGGCTCAGCAAACTGGTTGAAAGAAATTACAGGGGACCCTTTGCTAGTCCTGGGTACAGCTGTTGATGATTGGCAACTGTATTGCCCATATGTAGTTCCTGGTGGCAGTTCTAGGGCAGAGAAGAGTGCCTTTGGTTGGTTACAATGGAGCGGGGGTCCTGGTCCCAGTTCCAGGGCCAAGAGGAGTACTAGTGCTTGTGGCTGCAGAGGGGTAGGATCCCTTTCTGGGTAAAGACCAGAGCACAGACCAGGAGAGACCCCACCTCTCCCTGGAGCACACTGACTTTGGAAGCACCAAAAACTTGCAGACCTCCAGCACTATCTCTGAAAACAGCAGCATGAAAAAGCCTAAAACTTGGAACAGTGCCTGCCCACTCCCAGGTGAGCTGAGTCCAATTTTAACATGAAGTTCAAAGTCAATAAATAGGTTGGAAAAATAAGCAAACAACAACAACAACAAAACGTGATCATAAAGAGCTGCTATGGTGGCAGGGGAGACCAAGACATAAACTCGTAAGATGACAAAAATATGAAACGAGCTGCAAACAAAGTCTGAAAGAAAACTGTTAATTGGACCCAAGCCCAACAAGAATTCCTGGAAACAGTAAAGAAAAAGTAAAGAATAGTAGAGGAAAAATTGGGAAAGAAAATTATGCAAGAAAATTATGAAAAGAGAATTTATAGCTTGGTGAAAGAGGCACAAAAATACTGAAGAAAATAACACCTTCAAAAACAGAATTGCCCTGATGGTAAAAGTGGCACAATAATTCACTATAGAAAAGAACTCCTTAAAAAGCAGAATCAGTCAAATGGAAGAGGAAGTAAAAAAAACTCACTGAGGGAAAGAACTCATTAAAAAAGCAGAATTGAGTAAATAAAAAAAAAGGTACAATAGCTCACTGAAAAAAATAATTCCTTAAATAGTAGAATTTGGCCAAGTGGAAGCTAATAATTCCAAAAGACATCAGGAAAAATAAAACAAAGTCAAAAGAGTAAAAAAAAAAATAGAAGAAAATGTGAAATATTTCATAGGCAAAACAACTGACCTGGAAAATAGATCAAGAGAGATAATTTAAGAATTATTGGGCTATCTGAAAGCCATGATAAGAAAAAAAGAACATAAGCATCATATTTCAAGAAATTATTGTTTTTTCTAGTTCTCTCTTTTTTAAATAAATTTATTTATTTTCAGTTTTCAATATTTACTTCCACAAGATTTTGAGTTCCAAATTTTCACCCCATCTCACCCCTCCCCCCACCCCAAGATGGCATGCACTCTGAATATCCCTTCCCCTAGTCTGCCCTCTCCTCTATCTCTTCCCCCCTTCTCTTATCCCCTTCCCCTTCTATTTTCCTTTACGGTAGGACAGACTTTTGTACCCCATTTTCTGTATTTCTTATTTCCCAGTAGCACATGAAAACTTTTTTTAAACATATGTTTTTAAAACTTTAGGTTTCAGATATTCTCCCTTCCTCCCTCCCCACCTACCCTCATTAAAAAGGCAAGCAACTCAATATAGGTATACATGTGCAGTTATGCAAAACACTTCCATAGTAGACATGTTGTGAAAAACTAACTCTATTTCCCTTAATCCTATGCTGCCCTCCCATTTATTCTAGTCTTTCTTTTGACCCTGTCCCTCTTCAGAAGTATTTGCTTCTGATTACCCCATTTTCCAATCTGCCCTCCTCTCTATCATCTCCCTGCTCTCTTGTCCCCTTTCCCCCCTATTTTCCCATAGGGTAAGACAGATTTCCTTATCCAATTGAATGTGTATGTTATTCCCTCCTTAAGCCAAATCCTATGAGAATAAGATTCACTTATTCCCTCTCACCTTCCCCCATTTCCCATCCACTGTAAGAGCATTTTCTTTTCTGTTGTTTTTTGCGTGAGATAATTTACCCCATTCTACCTCTCCCTTTCTTCTTCTCTGACTATAAACCTCTCTCATCCCTTAATGTAGAAGCTGCTAGATCTTGTGTTATCCTGATTGTGTTTCCACAGTACTTGAATTGTTTCTTTCTGTCAGCTTGTAATATTTTCTCCTTGACCTGGGAACTCTGGAATTTGGCTACAATATTCCTAGGAGTTTTCCTTTGGGGATCTCTTTCAGGAGGAGATCTATGGATTCTTTCAATTTCTATTTTGCCCTCTGGTTCTACTGTATCAGGGCAGTTGTCCTTGATAATTTCTTGAAAGATGATGTCTAGGCTATTTTTTTGATCATGGCTTTCAGACAGTCCAATAATTTTTAAATTCTCCTCCTGGATCTATTTTCCAGGTCAGTTGTTTTTCCAATGAGATATTTCACATTGTTTCTATTTTTCATTCTTTTGGGTTTGTTTTACAGTGTCTTGATTTCTCATAAAGTCACTAACTTCCAATTGCTCTATTCTAATTTTTAAGGAAGCATTTTCTTCAGTAATCTTTTGGACTTTTCCATTTGGCCAGTTTTGCTTTTTAGGGCATTCTCTTCCTCATTGGCTTTTTGAACCTCTTTTGCCATTTGGGTTAGGCTGTTTTTTCAGGTGTTATTTTCTTCAGTATTTTTTTGGGTCTCCTTTAGCAAGCTGTTGACTTGTTTTTCATGATTTTCTTGCATCATTCTCATTTCTCTTCCCAGTTTTTCCTCTACTTCCCTTACTTGCTTCTCAAAATCCCTTTTGACTCTTCCAAGGCCTGGGACTGATTCATCTTTTCCTTGGAGGCTTTGGATGTAGGAGCTCTGACTTTGTTGTCTGCTTCTGGTTGTATATTTTGATCTTCTTTGTCACCAAAGTAAGATAATATAGTCTGACTTTTTTGCTCTGCTTGCTTACGATCCCAGCTGATTACTTGAGTTTTAAACTCTTTGTCAAGGTAAGAGTCTGCTTCCAATGTGGAGAATGTACTGTCCCAAGCTTTGGGGGTTTATATAGCTGTTTCACAGATACTTGTTATTTTCAGTTCTTGCAAGGTGGTATGATAAGGGGCAAGGTGTTTACTCCTTTCCTGGCCTGTGCTGTGGTCTATCAGTGACCACAAGCACTCCTTTCTGTCCTGGGACTGTGAGGAAGGTTTCCTTTCCACAGCCACTACAAGCTCCACCGTGTCAGCACTCCTCCTCACCCCAGGACCCCTGTCCAGAACTGTGACCCAGATCCAAGCACAGGCAAGCAAGAGATTCCTGCCTCAGAACCGGCAAAGAGATCCCTGCAATCCCTCTCTGATCAGCCGCTGGATTCCCCCTCAGTCTGTGGGCCAGAAGCTTGGGAAGCAGCTGCCAACCAAAGGGCCACGCTCTTGGGGAATGGAGCTGAGACCCCGTGCTGCTCTCTCAGCACTGCAGAAACAGACTGTTCCCACTGACCTTCTAAGTTGTCTTTGGCATTCATGGATTGAGGAGTCTGGAAACTGCCACAGCTACCTGCGATTCAGTCCTCTGAGGCCTGCTGCAGGTTCCCTGTGGCCTGCGCGCCCACGTCGTGCTGAGCTCCACTCCCAGCCCGGTGAGATACACCTTTCTGATCAATCGTCCAGGTTGTCTTGGGCTGGAATTTGTTTAGAGCCATTTTTATAGGTATTTGGAGGGGTTTGGGGTAGAGCTCAAGCAAGTTGCTGCTTTCACTCTGCCATCTTGGCTCCGCCCCCTCAAGAAATTATTAAGGAAAACTGTTCTGGTATCTTACATTCAGAAGTTAATATAGAAATTTAAAGAATCTACTAATCACTTCTTAAAAGAGATCCCAAAATGAAAACTTTCAGGTACCCAGGAGATAATATTGCAACCAATTTGAAAAAAACATTTCAAATACTGTGGAACTATAGTCAGGATCACACAAGATTTAGCAGCTTCTACATTAAAGGAGCAGAGGACTTAGAATATGATTTTCTAAAAGGCAAAGGAGCTAGGATTACAACCAAGAATAACTTACCCAGCAAAACTGAATATAATCTTTCAGAGGAAAAAAAATGGATATTCAATGAAATGGAGGAATTTCAAGTATTCCCACTGAAAACACCAGAGCTGAATGGAAAACGTGACATTCAAACACAAGACTCAAGAGAAGCATAAAAAGGTAAACATGAAAGAGTAATTGTAAAAGACTCAAAAAAATTTAACTGTTTACATTTCTATAGGGGAATATTATACTTGAAACTCCTGAGAACTTTATTAGTTAGAGGATGTCTACACTGACAGAAGGCATGAGTGTGAGTTGATTATGTTGGGATGATCTTAAAAAAATGAAGGGGTGAGAAAGAGAGATGCTTTGGGAGAAGTGGGAAGGGAGAGGAAGAATGGGGAAAACTATCTCACATAAAAGAGACACAAAAGGAAGAACTTTTATAATGGAGGGGAAAATAGGGGGATGGGGCAATGCTTGAACTTTACTATCGTCAGAGTTCATTCAAGGAGAAAGCCCCCTGGAAGAGCTGGCACCTCAGGCTGGACAGAAAAGGACAGTGGGACTGGATTTGGCTCTTGAGTCATAGTTTACCAACCGCTGCTCTAGACCAATCTATATGGTTTATTATAATAGCCCCTTCAACA